CAATGGGGTTGAGGTCAGGGCTCTGTGCAGGCCAGTCAAGTTCTTCCACACCGATCTTGACAATCCATTTCTGTATGGACCTCGCTTTGTGCACAGGGGTATTGTCATGCTGAAACTGGACTTCCCCAAACTGTTGCCACAAAGTTAGAAGCACAGAATCGTCTATAATGTCATTGTATGCTGTAGCGTTAAAATGTCCCTTCACTGGAACTAAGGGGCCTAGCCCGAACCATGATAAACAGCCCCAGACCATTATTCCTCCTCCAGCAAACTTTACAGTTGGCACTATGCATTGGGGCAGGTAGCGTTCTCCTGGCATCCGCCAAATCCAGATTCGTCTATCGGACTATAAGATAAAACACATTTCCACTGCTCCAGAGTCAATGGTGGTGAGCTTTACACCACTCCAGCCGACGCTTGGCATTGCGCATGGTAATCTTAGGCTTGTATGCGGCTGCTCGGCCATGGAAACCCATTTCATGAAGCTCCCGACGAACAGTTATTGTGCTGACGCTGCTTCCAGAGGCAGTTTGGAACTCACTAATGCATGTTGCAACTGAGGACAGACGATTTTTACACGCTACGCCCTTCAGCACTCGGCGGTCCCGTTCTGTGAGCTTGTGTGGCCTACCACTTCACGGCTGAGCCGTTGTTGCTCCTAGACATTTCCACTTCACAACAGCGCTTACAGTTGACCGGGGCAGCTCTAGCAGGGGAGACATTTGACAAACTGATTTGTTGGAACAGTGGCATCCTATGATGGCGCCACGTTGAAAGTCAAAGCTCTTCAGTAAGGCCATTCTACTGCCAATGCTTGTCTATGGAGATTGCATGGCGGTGTGCTCAATTTTATACACCTGTCAGGGGTGCCCACATACTTTGTGTCATACAATATTAACCCTCTATAGTCTAAGCCGTGTAAGCTGTTTTATGAAAAATGTAATTTAGTCTTAACTGCTATTAGCCAATACAAATGCATTGAATAACAGATTCACTACATGGAACAACAGATGGTCTAAAAAAAATCAAAATAACGTTTTTTCTTTAGTGTCTGTCCTAGATCTGAGAGATACAGTATAAGAAAGATCAGGAAACTATTTATGGGGGGGTTGTTTTACATGTATTTGACCCCTTATCTTTTACACTAAACTAATCTCCAGATATACAGTACCAGTCAAAAGTTTGGACACACCTACTAATTCAAGGGTTTTTCTTTATTTTTACTATTTTCTACATTGTAGAATAATAGTGAAGACCTCAAAACTATGTAAAAAAAAACATACAGAATCGTGTAGTAACCAAAAAAGTGTTAAACAAATCAAAATATACACTGCTCAAAAAAATAAAGGGAACACTTAAACAACACAATGTAACTCCAAGTCAATCACACTTCTGTGAAATCAAACTGTCCACTTAGGAAGCAACACTGATTGACGATACATTTCACATGCTGTTGTGCAAATGGAATAGACAACAGGTGGAAATTATAGGCAATTAGCAAGACACCCCCAATAAAGAAGTGGTTCTGCAGGTGGTGACCACAGACCACTTCTCAGTTCCTATGCTTCCTGGCTGATGTTTTGGTCACTTTTGAATGCTGGCTGTGCTTTCACTCTAGTGGTAGCATGAGACGGAGTCTACAACCCACACAAGTGGCTCAGGTAGTGCAGCTCATCCAGGATGGCACATCAATGCGAGCTGTGGCAAGAAGGTTTGCTGTGTCTGTCAGCGTAGTGTCCAGAGCATGGAGGCGCTACCAGGAGACAGGCCAGTACATCAGGAGACGTGGAGGAGGCCGTAGGAGGGCAACAACCCAGCAGCAGAACCGCTACCTCCACCTTTGTGCAAGGAGGAGGAGGAGGAGCACTGCCAGAACCCTGCAAAATGAACTCTAGCAGGCCACAAATGTGCATGTGTCTGCTCAAACGGTCAGAAACAGACTCCATGAGGGTGGTATGAGGGCCCGATGTCCACAGGTGGGGGTTGTGCTTACAGCCCAACACCGTGCAGGACGTTTGGCATTTGCCAGAGACACCAAGATTGGCAAATTCGCCACTGGCGCCCTGTGCTCTTCACAGATGAAAGCAGGTTCACACTGAGCACGTGACAGACGTGACAGAGTCTGGAGACGCCGTGGAGAATGTTCTGCTGCCTGCAACATCCTCCAGCATGACCGGTTTGGCGGTGGGTCAGTCATGGTGTGGGGTGGCATTTCTTTGGGGGGGCCGCACAGCCCTCCATGTGCTCGCCAGAGGTAGCCTGACTGCCATTAGGTACCGAGATTATATCCTCAGACCCCTTGTGAGACCATATGCTGGTGCGATTGGCCCTGGGTTCCTCCTAATGCAAGACAATGCTAGACCTCATGTGGCTGGAGTGTGTCAGCAGTTCCTGCAAGAGGAAGGCATTGATGCTATGGACTGGCCCGCCCGTTCCCCAGACCTGAATCCAATTGAGCACATCTGGGACATCATGTCTCGCTCCATCCACCAACGCCACGTTGCACCACAGACTGTCCAGGAGTTGGCGGATGCTTTAGTCCAGGTCTGGGAGGACATCCCTCAGGAGACCATCCACCACCTCATCAGGAGCATGCCCAGGCGTTGTAGGGAGGTCATACAGGCATGTGGAGGCCACACACACTACTGAGCCTCATTTTGACTTGTTTTAAGGACATTACATCAAAGTTGGATCAGCCTGTAGTGTGGTTTTCCACTTTAAATTTGAGGGTGACTCCAAATCCAGACCTCCATGGGTTGATACATTTGATTTCCATTGATAATTTTTGTGTTTTTGTTGTCAGCACATTCAACTATGTAAAGAAAAAAGTATTTAATAAGATTATTTCATATCTAGGATGTGTTGTTTAAGTGTTCCCTATATTTTTTTGAGCAGTGTATTTTAGATTTTAGATTCTTCAAATAGCCACCGTTTGCCTTGATGACAGCTTTGCACACTCTTGGCATTCTCTCAACCAGCTTCATGAGGTAGTCACCTAGAATGCATTTCAATTCTAAAAAAGTTAATTTGTGGAATTTCTTTCCTTCTTAAATAGTTTGAGTCAATCAGTTGTGTTGTGACAAGGTAGGGGGGTATACAGAAGATAGCCCTATTTGGTAAAAGACCAAGTCCATATTATGGCAAGAACAGCTCAAATAAGCAAAGAGAAACAACAGTCCATCATTACTTTAAGACATGAAGGTCAGTCAATACGGAACATTTACAGACCTTTGAACGTTTCTTCAAGTACAGTCACAAAAACCATCAAGCGCTATGATGAAACTGGCTCTCATGAGGACCGCCAGAGGAATGGAAGAGCCAGTTACATCTGCAGCAGAGGATAAGTTCATTAGAGTAACCAGGCTCAGAAATTGCAGCCCAAATAAATGCTTCACAGAGTTCAAGTAACAGACACATATCAACATCAACTCTTCATAGGAGACAGTCTGAATCAGGCCTTCACAGTCAAATTGCTGCAAAGAAACCACTACTAAAGGACACCAATAAGAAGAGACTTGCTTGGACCAAGAAACACGAGCAACGGACATTAAACCGGTGGAAATTTGTCCTTTGGTCTGGAGTCCAAATTTGAGATTTTTGGTTCCAACCGCCATGGCTTTGTGAGACGCGTGTGGGTGAATGGATTATCTCCTTATATGTATTTCCCACCATAAAGCATGGAGGTGGTGGGGGGGTGCTTTGCTGGTGACACTGACTGTGATTTATTTAGAATTCAAGGCACACTTAACCGGCATGGCTACCACAGCATTCTGCAGCGATACACCATCCCATCTGATTTGCGCTTAGTGGGACTATCATTTTTTTTTTTCAGCAGGACAATGACCCAACACACTTCCAGGCTGTGTAAGGGCTATTTTACCAAGAAGGTCCTCTGTAGCTCAGCTGGTAGAGCACGGCGCTTGTAACGCCAAGGTAGTGGGTTCGATCCCCGGGACCACCCATACACAAAAATGTATGCACGCACGACTGTAAGTCGCTTTGGATAAAAAGCGTCTGCTAAATGGCATATTATATTATTATTATTATTATAAGGAGAGTGATGGAGTGCTGTATCAGTTGATCTGGCCTCCACAATCCCCCGACCTCAACCCAATCGAGATGGTTTGGGATGAGTTGGACCGCAGAGTTTAGGCAAAGCAGCCAACAAGTGCTCAGCATATATGGGAACTCCTTCAAGACTGTTGGCAAAGCATTCCAGGTGAAGCTGGTTGAGAGAATGCCAAGAGTGTGCAAAGCTGTCATCAAGGCAAACGGTGGCTATTTGAAGAATCTCAAATATAAAATATATTTTGATTTGTTTAACACTTTTCACTGGTACTGTATGTGTTCGTGACAGATATTAGTGTGTAGCCCAAACTGTTTGACTCTACAGAAAGAAGTTGGCAGATCAGCTGTACTGACTTCAGACGAGTCCCAAGACGCTTGTGTGGGTCGTAGAGCAAAACGGAGAACACCATCGTCATCTTTCCATAGAGGGGTCATAACAGTTTGAAGGCCGTTCGGATGCTACAGACATTTTAGTGAGAAGACCGATTTTCGGGATGTCTCATGGTCTGACAAACACCGCTCTAGCTCTGCACACCTTTCATGTGGAAGTGCAACATCGGTGGATGCGGTGGACTAAGACATCTTCTTAAATGTGGTTGCAATGCTGTGAAAAACAGTTGTACTGCACTAGAGTGCAAAAAATAAAGCGATATTCCCAAAGTTTAGCATGTCTTTGTAGGGGGACTCTTATTTTGAATTTAAAAAATCTGCGATCGCGCTGCCAGCATAATATCCTGCTGCCACGAGAACGGTAATCAATTTCTGTTACAACTTCAATTACATGTAAAATGTCTGAATTCAAGTAGATCCCAGGTACAAACAACTAAACAAACAAATAAACAAAACAAAAAATTTCTGGAATTGCACCAGTGGACATTAATAGCACCAACCCAACCCCCCCCAACCCAACAACTACTACAGTAACTCAGGTCCCCCTCTCCTCCCTCTCTGTTCTCTCCGCAAGGTGAAGTTTTTTTTTTTGTCTCAAGTTCCTCTCTTACTCCATCAACCCACACTTCTCCTCCTCTGCCTCACCCTCTTTACACTCCTTTTTCCTCTCTTCCTCACAGTACAAGTAGTCAGATGTGAGTCTCCTCTCCCCTTCTCCCTACTCCCATTATCTGTAGTCAGGTTTAAGTCTCCACGTCCCCTCCTGCCCCTCTGCCCTGTGGAAGTTACAGATGTTTCGGAGTAGTTCTCTGAAGACAGGGGTCTGGGTCTGGTTCAGTCTGGGGGTGAAGTGGTCCAGGACCTCCTTGGTGCTGGCCTGTCCATCCACAGCTCCCTGGAATGCCACAAAGTTCCTCAGCTCCACCAGGAGCTCATCGTGTTCCGTAGGGGGGGCAGGAGTGCCCGAGGTGGTATGCCCCCCCTCCTCCTCTTCCTCTTCCTCTCCTCCTCCATCCACTTCTCTCTGAGGCAGGCTGAGGTGGTTCCTAGCTTTCATGCGGGCCAGCAGAGCGGAGGAAGATCCGCCCACCTCTACCCCTTCTCCACTGAAGTGACCCCCTGGGATGGGTTTCCTGGCAATGGTTTTCTTGATGATGGAAGCATCCTACACAGACAAAGCAGACACACTGGGTTACAACAGAGAACAGAATAATGAAGAACAGAGAATATCTGACTATATGTTTCAGCAGGGTCATGTCATTAAGCACCAAACAGTGGAAAACTGACCGAAACATGGAGAGACTACCTGGATGTGTCCAATAGGAAACACTAATTTCCATTTCCATTGAAACAGGTTATCTGCAGGTTCCATCAAGTTGAATTTAAGACTTTTTAAAATACCTTTTTAATGCCAATTGAAATGCAATTTAATACCAACTTTGAGGTCTGCGTGCGCCACAAACCTGCTTATATTCCCTATTTCTTCACACAGTCACTAATCGAAAACAAATAGTAGGCTAATCATCTTCTAATGGCATTCACAGTGCTTTAATAAAGAAGTGCAATAGACTACTGAGATGGTACTCAAATAACGTGTTTTATCTAAGCAGGAATGCATGATTCAAGATATTCTTATATGCACTGCAACCTAATCCAGTGATTGTAATGAATTTTAGTTTGACAATTAGGCCATTGTTCTATTTAGTGTTAAAATAGGACTCTATATTTTTTGTTCAATAGAGATGAATTTGCCTACACTAATATCACAGACAAATATTTGGTGCTAATTCACCAGCTGAGTAAGTGGAAACTCAAAACACATTAGCTAGAGGACTACCTCGAAATATAATTTTTACTGGAAGTAACCATGTTTTAATCTAACAGTAAAGTAATTATTAATGCCCTAAAAAACGTTGCTGTCATAGCCTAATACCCAATGAGGCCGTCTCTCAAATCCATATCAATATCTTGGTTGTAAAATAGACAGCTGAGAAATAAAAAAATATACCTGCACAAAGCTGAGAACCTCCTCTCTTCAACAGTGACAACAAGTATTACGAGGGCCTAAAACTAACTTTTTTTGTATACCAGCCACTGTGGCAGGTAGATAAAAAAACCTAGCAGCAACTCCGATTTGTTACACAAAGAAACACACAAAAATTATGAGCATGCTTAGTAATGTTTATAAAACAATACATGTATTACTAGTAAGAAGTAATGTGGTATATTGCTCGATTTAATTTAATATTCTGTGACCTGAGTATTTTAACAAAAATATCACAGACAAAACATTTTAGCTGCCCCTTTAAGGTTACCTTGGTAACAGGGCCAATGGAGTCATCACATGTGCCTGTGAGAATGTCACTAGTAGAGGCCAACAATGTCTCTATTTGCTAGCAGTTGTAGCAAACTCAAACATTGAAAAGCAACCTAGCTTGTCAACAAAACAATGTAAATTGCCAAGAAACACGAGGACAAAGTCTCACTTTAGTAGACTTCAGAGTAAATTAGATCTACTTTTATGCCTGTGCCCATTGCTTCTAAAAACTAATCTGGTGAATTAGACATTCTTACCCACCTGCGTTTGTCAGGTGGCGGGTGTTATTACACAGGATAGCTGTGTTTTTCTTATAGCTAAAATCAGAACACATTTTTTTTCTACAGAAGTGCAGTGGGAAAGGCAGTAAAAAATGGCTCGCTCATCATCACTGCAGCAGGTCCCGGCGAAACAGGCACATGGGCAGGGCAGACACTTCCATTAGAGGAATGATGACGATAATGCACTATACTGTTTGACCAAATCATTTAATAGCTAAATAGTTAACAAGCTAGCTAATGAGTGAGCCAACTAGCTAAGCTACAAGCAATGTTTCGAATTGGCTATCTATTTTGTAGGCTACCTTACTCGCTGTGCTCTCTCATCTGGCAACAGTCTACTTGCAGTGGCACACACACAGAGTCGTAGGCTATACATGTGGAGCTCTCTAGCATGTTGAAAATGCGCCTTGGTAGGAGTAGGCTATAATTTGATGTGAATTTTTTATTTTGCCGTGGTGGCAACAATTAAGCAGCTGCACAACATAGGGGAAACACTGTAGTCATCTCAGGTTGCATTTTTTAAGACCATTGAAAACTGAATTTAAGACATTTTAAAGCCTTTAATTTAGATAAATAAATTTAAGACTTAAGACCTTTTAAGGACCTGCAGACACCCTGTGAATTTTTCTTATAACATTTTCCTTTGTGCGCCCTAATGAACACAATGAATACAAATATGTTTTCTACCTCTGTGGTGTTGAGGTGTGTAGTTACCTTGCATTTGTCCTGAGCTGGGGCAGCTGTAGAAGGAGGAGCAGACAGCAAAGGATTCTTCTTCTGACCAAACCTCTTCCTGTAGACACACAACCACACACACATTAAACTACACTACCCATAATCCTCCACTCAATGTGGAAGTCTACAGTGTTAGCCTGTGTGTGCTAGCCTGTGTATCAAATCAAATCAAATTTTATTGGCCACATGCGCCGAATACAACAGGTGCAGACATTACAGTGAAATGCTTACTTACAGCCCTTAACCAACAGTGCATTTATTTTTAAATAAAAAAGTAAAATAAAACAAAAAAAGTGTTGAGAAAAAAAGAGCAGAAGTAAAATAAAATAACAGTAGGGAGGTTATATACAGGGGGGTACCGGTGCTGAGTCAATGTGCGGGGGCACCGGCTAGTTGAGGTAGTTGAAGTAATATGTACATGTGGGTAGAGTTAAAGTGACTATGCATAAATAATTAACAGAGTAGCAGCAGCGTAAAAAGATGTGGTGGGGGGTGGAGGTGGGGGGGCAGTGCAAATAGTCCGGGTAGCCATGATTAGCTGTTCAGGAGTCTTATGGCCTGGGGGTAGAAGCTGTTGAGAAGCCTTTTGGACCTATACTTGGCAATCCGGTACCGCTTGCCGTGCGGTAGCAGAGAGAACAGTCTATGACTAGGGTGGCTGGAGTCTTTGACAATTTTGAGGGCCTTCCTCTGACACCGCCTGGTATAGAGGTCCTGGATGGCAGGAAGCTTGGCCCCAGTGATGTACTGGGCCGTACGCACTACCCTCTGTATGTGCTAGGCTGTGTGCGTGTTAGCCTGCGTGTACGTGTGTGTGTGTGTACCTGGTTGGAGCTGGGGCAGGTCGGTTGTAGGGCAGTCTACAGTGTTGCCTGGAGACCTTCAGAGCTTTCAAAGCGTCTTTAGCTACTCTGTTAGCTTCAGCTTCCACCAGGACAAAGTCTGGGTTAGACGCCTCCATGATGGAGTCATGCTGCATCACACTGTGGATACCTGGAGAGGAGAGAGAGAAAATGGTTCAAGATGCACTGTGAGGCTTTACTTTCCCCTGTGATTATAGGACAAAATCACTAACACAATTGTGGTTAAACAACACAAAACAAACACACACAAAAACACTGTTTGGTTCATGCTAGTTCATCTTCTTCTACCGTTTAAACAAAGAGCTTCTCCCTCAGTCCACCAAAACTTAACCTGGCAACTAACGCCTCATGTGCAGAGGTACCCGATTTCTTGAAACACGTAAAGAAAAGTACGGTAACACTTTAAAATAACTTTCATGAATAAGAATTAAAGCGATATACAAACTACCAATACAAATATATTTAATTACTTGTAAACATGTATTAACATAAAAACATACCCGACTTCTTGAAGAGTTTGGCCAGTACATAGTCGTCGCTCTGTCTCTGGTCCTGTTTTTCCGGCTGCTCCTCGCGCTCCTCCTGTCCTTTGTAGCTCCTCTTCTTCACCAGGTAGGAGATGCGATGACCCTCGACCTTGGCCTGTTTCTGTTTCCCGTGTTTGTTTTTAGGTCCTTCTGCTGTCGAGTCACAGTGCTTCCTCTTCTCCCTGTGTTTGTAGGGACTGGAGCCGGGTCCTTGAGAGTCTCTGTGTTTGTGTGAACTGTGTTTTTTTTCTCTGTGCTTCTGTGTGCTGGGACTGGGGGAGTTAGTGTGTGAATGTTCTCTGTGTTTGTGGGGCAGATTGGAGTTTGTGTCTCTGTCGGGGTCTGTGTGTATATGAGCGTTGCTTCCCTCCTCCCTAGAGTGCTGTGTGTCACAGTCTGTCTTGGACTGGTCAATAGGAATATCTGGTGCCTCCCTTGCCTCGCCCTGGTTGGCTTCCTGGCTGTCCGTCAGCCTGTTGTTCCTATCGAGAGAGATGTTACTGCGAAGGGGGGTGGTCCTGTCTCCAGGCCGGGGCGATGGGGAAGGGATGGTTCCACCTCCAGTGGAGCTAACATTGTGATTGGTTACAGAGTGTCTGTGGTTAGACCTTGGTCTGACTGGTTTCTTAGGAGCTTGGACATCAGAACCCGTACCTACACAACGAGGGGAAATAAAAACATCAGACACAAAACCAATAGGAACAGACAGTCGGAACCACTTGTGTGTGTGTGTTTGTGTGTGTGTGTACCTGCGAATATAGCGCTGGTCTCTGTGCCCTGCGTCCCGTCAGGGTTAGATAAGGTAAACAGCTCGTAGATGTCGTTGGACTTGAAGAAGCGTCGCTGTTTAGGGTCCTTCAGAATGCGGTTGGTCAGGAACTGTTTGAAGATTTGCCTGAAGGGAAAAACACCAGAGGTGAATATTAACACAGTCTCTCCTGATGGTGTTGGGAGGAGAATCTCAATAGTTCAGTTTATCATAGATGAAGAGCTACTTGAAACGTGGACGTAATCCTGTAGTCGGTCAGCTGTTTGTTCACCCGCAATTGCTAATAACTTATCCGCAATCGCCTGACTATACAGTGGGGAAAAAAAGTATTTAGTCAGCCACCAATTGTGCAAGTTCTCCCACATAAAAAGATGAGAGAGGCCTGTAATTTTCATCATAGGTACACGTCAACTATGACAGACAAAATGAGATTTTTTTTCTCCAGAAAATCACATTGTAGGATTTTTTATGAATTTATTTGGTCAATAAGAAAAGTTTCTCAATACTTTGTTATATACCCTTTGTTGGCAATGACACAGGTCAAACGTTTTCTGTAAGTCTTCACAAGGTTTTCACACACTGTTGCTGGTATTTTGGCCCATTCCTCCATGCAGATCTCCTCTAGAGCAGTGATGTTTTGGGGCTGTCGCTGGGCAACACGGACTTTCAACTCCCTCCAAAGATTTTCTATGGGGTTGAGATCTGGAGACTGGCTAGGCCACTCCAGGACCTTGAAATGCTTCTTACGAAGCCACTCCTTCATTGCCCGGGCAGTGTGTTTGGGATCATTGTCATGCTGAAAGACCCAGCCACGTTTCATCTTCAATGCCCTTGCTGATGGAAGGAGGTTTTCACTCAAAATCTCACGATACATGGCCCCATTCATTCTTTCCTTTACACGGATCAGTCGTCCTGGTCCCTTTGCAGAAAAACAGCCCCAAAGCATGATGTTTCCACCCCCATGCTTCACAGTAGGTATGGTGTTCTTTGGATGCAACTCAGCATTCTTTGTCCTCCAAACACGACGAGTTGAGGTTTTACCAAAAAGTTATATTTTGGTTTCATCTGACCATATGACATTCTCCCAATCCTCTTCTGGATCATCCAAATGCACTCTAGCAAACTTCAGACGGGCCTGGACATGTACTGGCTTAAGCAGGGGGACACGTCTGGCACTGCAGGATTTGAGTCCCTGGCGGCATAGTGTGTTACTGATGGTAGGATTTGTTACTTTGGTCCCAGCTCTCTGCAGGTCATTCACTAGGTCCCCCCGTGTGGTTCTGGGATTTCTGCTCACCGTTCTTGTGATCATTTTGACCCCACGGGGTGAGATCTTGCGTGGAGCCCCAGATCAAGGGAGATTATCAGTGGTCTTGTATGTCTTCCATTTCCTAATAATTGCTCCCACAGTTGATTTCTTCAAACCAAGCTGCTTACCTATTGCAGATTCATTCTTCCCAGCCTGGTGCAGGTCTACAATTTTGTTTCTGGTGTCCTTTGACAGCTCTTTGGTCTTGGCCATAGTGGAGTTTGGAGTGTGACTGTTTGAGGTTGTGGACAGGTGTCTTTTATACTGATAACAAGTTCAAACAGGTGCCATTAATACAGGTAACGAGTGGATGACAGAGGAGCCTCTTTAAGAAGAAGTTACAGGTCTGTGAGAGCCAGAAATCTTGCTTGTTTGTAGGTGATCAAATACTTATTTTCCACCATAATTTGCAAATATATTCATTAAAAATCCTACAATGTGATTTTCTGGAGAAAAAAATTCTCAATTTGTCTGTCATAGTTGACGTGTACCTATGATGAAAATTACAGGCCTCTCTCATCTTTTAAAGTGGGAGAACTTGCACAATTGGTGGCTGACTAAAAACTTTTTTCCCCCCACTGTATCTGACAAAGTAAAAATCTGAGGCCACCACCCGACCCTAACCCGCTAATATAGAAAATGCGCTCTAGGCTACAGTCATAGATGGCGTAACAATTTTTTGACAGATTTAGATAGGTTTCTGCTTATAATTTCCAACTTTTTGGTAGGCTATTTGTTAGTCAACTTGTCTATAATTAGATACATGCAGCTTCTCTTCTGTCATTATGTTGCCCTAGTAGACTAAATAAACCCTTGCTCACCAGAACAATGTCATAAATCAATAGAATGAATGCTTCAATATAGCTGACATCGGTAAAGTTCTGTCATCTCTGCTTCTTTCACAGAGCAAAGAAATTTAGGGACTGGGGAGAAAATTAAAACTGGAAATATTTCATGTGCAAATTTTTTTTTACATGATATCATTTTGACCAGTTGTAAGGAAATATAAAGCTGTGAAAACGACCCAACATGTTTCTGATAAGATTTCAGTTCGGCTTGGATGCATATTTTATGATGCTGATGAACATAGATACCATCTGTAGAGGTGCTAACTGGCATTTGCATTCTCTCAAGATGGGAAAGGAAAGAAAAACCTGTTCCCTAGTCAACATTTAGCCTACATTTGGTGTATCATTTTAATTCTGCAGGAGTTTATATTAAGGCTATGTGAGAGGTTATAGACCTACAGTCAGTGTTTCCATTTAACCCATCTGAATAGTAGGCTCCAGTTCCCTTGACGTGCCATAGGCTTGTTTGAAGTCCCGTCTTGTGACTGTGGAATTTGTATAGCGCCTCACAGTCATCACACATAACATAGCTGCCTTTTTTACCACTTCACCAAATCTTTCCCAAACATTACTTTTCTGTCCCTCCCTTCTCTTTATTTTCAACCCTCCATTTCACAGGTTCTCTCTTATTGAATTAAACTCAGACATTATTCTTTCTGCCTAACTTTTCCCAGCAAGTGTCCTGTGCCACTAGGGGCGCTACTGTTATACGACAAACAAGCACGCTTATAAGTCACTCCCTTGGCCTCCCTTCACAAGACGTGCCTGTGACACGCTCAGTGGAGAAGTGGTCCGACGAAGCAGATGCTACATTACGGGACTGCTTTGCTAGTGCAGACTGAAATATGTTTCGGGACTCCGCCAACGTCGCCAAGTTTACCACCACCATCACCGGCTTCATCAGTAAATGCACCGATGACGTTGTCCCTACAGTAAAGGTCAGATGTTTCCCAACCAAAGGCCCAGGATTAACACTGAGACACATGCTAAACTAAAGGACAGACACACCACACATAGGGCTATCGCAGCCAACGTAGCTAACCCTGAGGCTAAGGAAGTAGCCATAGTCACATACAAGAAGTCCCACTACAACCTCCGTAGAACCACCAAACATGCAAAGACAATACAGGAATAAGGTGGAATCCTACTGCACTGGCTCCAATGCTCAAGGATGAAAATGGATTATAAAGGACAACCCAGCTGTGAGCTGCCCAACAATGCCACTCTACCAGACAAACTTAAAGCCTTTTATGTACTCTTCAATGACAACACCACAGAGCTTTGCATAAAGGCTCCCGCTGTTTCGGATTACTCGCTCTCCGAGGCTGACGTGAGTAAGACCTTTAAACGTGTCAACGCTCATAAGGCCGCTGGGCAAGAAAGAATACCAGGGCGCATCCTCAGGGCATGCGCAGACCAGCTGGCAGGCATCTTTACGGCCATTTTCAACCTCTCCCTGTCCTAGTCTGTAATCTCCACATGCCTCAAATTGACCATCATCGTTCCTGTTCACAAGAAATCTAAGGTAACTTGCCACAATGACAACCGCCTTATAGCACTCACATCTGTAATCATCAAATAAAATACAATTTAATTTGGCACATGCGCCGAATACAACCGGTGTAGACCCTACAGTGAAATGCTTACTTACAATCTTTAACCAACAACGCAGTTTTAAGAAGAAGAAAAAAAGTGTTAAGTAAAAAAATTAAAAATAATTAAAGAGCAGCAGTAAAATAAAATAACAGTAGGGAGGCGATATACAGGGGGTACCGTTACAGAGTCAATGTGCGGGGGCACCGGTTAGTCGAGGTAATTGAGGTAATATGTACATGTGGGTAGAGTTAAAGTGACTATGCATAGATAATAAACAGAGTAGCAGCAGCGTAAAAGAGGGGGTGGGGGGGACAATGCAAATAGTCTGGGTAGCCATGATTAGCTGTTCAGGAGTCTTATGGCTTGGGGGTAGAAGCTGTTAAGAAGCCTTTTGGACCTAGACTTGGCGCTCCGGTACCGCTTGCCGTGCGGTAGCAGAGAGAACAGTCTATGACTAGGGTGGCTGGAGTCTTTGACAATTTGTAGGGCCTTCCTCTGACACCATCTGGTATAGAGGTCCTGGATGACAGGAAGCTTGGCCCCAGTGATGTACTGGGCCGTACGCACTACCCTCTGTAGTGCCTTGCGGTCGGATGCTGAGCAGTTGCCATACCAGGCGGTGATGCAACCAGTCAGGATGCTCTCGATGGTGCAGCTGTAGAACATTTTGAGGATCTGAGGACCCAAGCCAAATTTTTTCAGTCTCCTGAGGGGGAATAGGCTTTGTCGTGCCCTCTTCACGACTGTCTTGGTGTGTTTGGACCATGATAGTTTGTTGGTGATGTGGACACCAAGGAACTTGAAGCTCTCAACCTGTTCCACTACATCCCTGTTGATGAGAATGGGGGCGTGCTCAGTCCTCAATTTTTTCCTGTAGTCCACAATCATCTCCTTTGTCTTGATCACGTTGAGGGAGAGGTTGTTATCCTGGCACCACACGGCCAGGTCACTGACCTTCTCCCTATAGGCTGTCTCATCGTTGTCGGTGATCAGGCCTACCGCTGTTGTGTCATCGGCAAACTTAATGATGGTGTTGGAGTCGTGCCTGGCCATGCAGTCATGGGTGAACAGGGAGTACCCTGAGGGGCCCCCGTGTTGAGGATCAGCGTGGCAGATGTGTTGTTACCTACCTAGTTTTTTTCTCCTCTGGTTGCACATTTAACATGCTGGTAGAAATTAAGTAGAACGGATTTAAGTTTCCCTGCATTAAAGTCCCCGGCCACTAGGGGCGCTGCCTCTGGATGAGCTTTTTCCTGTTTGCTTATGGCCTTATACAGCTCATTGAGTGCAATCTTAGTGCCAGCATCGGTTTGTGGTGGTAAATAGACAGCTACGAAAAATATAGTGTGGTAAATAGTGTGTTCTACAGCTTATCATGAGATACTCTACCTCAGGCGAGCAAAACCTTGAGACTTCCTTAGTATTAGATTTTATGCACCAACTGTTGTTTACAAATATACACAGACCGCCACCCTTGTCTTACCGGAGTCAGCCGTTCTATCCTGCCGATGTAGCGTATATCCCGCCAGCTGTATGTTATCCATGTCGTCGTTCAGCCACGACTCAGTGAAATATAAGATATTACAGTTTTTAATGTCCCGTTGGTAGGATATTCTTGATCTTAGGTCGTCCATTTTGTTTTCAAATGATTGTACGTTGGCTAATAGGATTGATGGAAGAGGCAGATTACTCGCTCGCCGTCGGATCCTTACAAGGCACCCCGACCTACGTCCACGATATCTCTGTCTCTTTCTCATGCGAATGACGGGGATTTGGGCCTTGTCGGGTGTCTGTAGAATATCCTTCGCGTCCAACTCGTTCAAGAAAAAAATCTTTGTCCAATACGAGGTGAGTAATCGTTGTCCTGATATCCAGAAGCTCTTTTTGGTCATAAGAGACGGTGGCAGAAACATGATGTACAGAATAAATAACAAATAAAACGGCAGCCATCTCCTCCGGCGCCATCTTGGAAATGCTTAGAAAGGCTGGCCATGACACATCAACACGATCACCCCAGACACCCTGGAGCCACTCCAGTTTGCATACCGCCCCAACAGATCCACAGACGATGCCATCTCAATTGCACTCCACACTGCCCTTCCCACTTAGACATGAGGGGAAATACCTATGTGAGAATGCTGTTCATCGACTACAGCTTCGCGTTCAACACCATAGTCCCCTCCAAGATTGTCACCAAGCTCGGGACCCTGGGACTGAACACCTCCCTCTGCAACTGGATCCTGCCTTGACTGGCTGCATCACTGCCTGGTATGGCAACTGCTCCACCCTCGTCCGCAAGGCCCTACAGAGGGTGGTGCGGACAGCCCAGCACATCACTGTGGGCGAGCTCCCAGCCATTCAGGACATACACACCAAGCGGTGTCTGAGGAAGGCCCGAAAGATTGCCAAAGACTCCTGCCACCCCTGACATGTACTGTTCTCTCTGCTTCCACCTGGCAGGCGGTACCAGAGTATCAGGTCTCGGACCAACAGGCTCCAAGAGAGCGAGAGCCTCTACCCCACCAAGGACTATATGCACTGACAATATGCACGCTCACAGGCCTCTACCCACACACGCCTACACTGACACTCACCACCACCACGCACACACACACACACACCTACCACTGATGCTATATTGTTTACTATTATTATTTATCCATCCTGTTACCAGTCACTTTCTCCTAATCCCTGTCTACATGTACATATCTACCTCAACTACTCCAGTATCCCTGCACATAAAATGTATTTCTCGTGTTTGATTTTTAGCTATACTATTTTGATATTGAATACAGCACTGTTGAGAAGGGCAGGTTAAGCATTTCACTGTACTTGTGCATGTGACAAATAAAACTTGAAACTAGAGAGCTTGCAACGTCAGGATCGTGGGTTTGTTGGGAAATCCATACGAAAATGTATGCATGCAATACTGTAAATTGTTTTGGATGAAAGCATCTGCTAAATGGCATATTATATCATAATAGTACCTGAGAAAGTAAATGTTACACTTCTTGATGCCTTTTGCAAAATGCAGCGAGCTCAGATCTATGCAAAGTCGGTATTTTAACCCCTCAGTAAGTGAGGACTGTACCTCGGTGAATGAGTAGTGGTATGAATATAGTGGTATGAATAAAGTGTCCCTCCTTCCCTTCCTACCTGTGGTAGATCTTCTCCTCGATGGTCCCAGCGGTCAGTAGTCTGTAGACAGTCACCTCCTTTTTCTGACCAATCCTCCAAGCTCGCTCTCGAGCCTAGACGACAACAACAACACAGGGACATGGGGTGAGAGTGTGATAAGAGTGTGTGTGTATGATCCTCCACATATGCTCTCGAGCCTAGGGGACAACACAATACCAGGAGATTAACGGTTAAGCAACGACTGACTAGTTAGAGATATGTCTATGTACCATGGAGTCTGTCGACCCTATGGTCAGTGGTGTGTGTGTGTGTGTGTGTGTGTACCTGTGTATCAGTGCTAGGGTTCCAGTCGGGGTCATAGATGATGACTCTGTTAGCTCCGGTCAGGTTGACTCCCAGCCCCCCCACTCTTGTGGTCAACAAGAACACAAAGATAGACTTGTCCTGGAGAGAGGAGAGGAGGGGAGGAGAGGGAAAATATGATAGAATGGTGGTCAAAGCATATATAGAACTATTTCTTATTACTATTTTTTCATCACTCATCAGAACATGTCTGATCATGGGTCCATATGCGAAGACACCTAAAGGCACTGGGCAGCAGGCTGGACAATAGGCTGTTTTCACACTAGTAATCTAACCCCCAGGGTTGAGATTTTCACTGAAAGGTCTTTTCACACTACTGAGCCAAATCGAGCCAAGCCAAACCAAGCCGTACTGAGCAGGCCTGGTTACACATCAACCATAGTTGCTGGAAGCAGGCTGAAAAAGACAATGTGAAAAGAAAATATCTGAGCCAGCACAGTTTGGTTCAGGTAAGCAAGAAAGTGTGAAAAGGGTATAATTGTAGACCCTTACGTCGTTGTATCGAGCGATGAGAGGCTGTCTGGAGGCGATGGTGGTGGTACCATCCATCTTCACATAGGTGTAGCCATTCTCCCTCACAAACACCTCCAATATCCCCAACATCTAGACAGCGAAAGAGTGACAGCGGGAGAGGAAGAAAGAGAGAGAGTTGTAGATTAGGCCTAACAACATCGTCCGATTAATTTTCCATGGAACCTGAAACCCACCCAGTCAGTGTCTCTGTCTCTCCCACAACACACAAACACACACCTGTCTGGACTGTGTGAACAGCAGGACTCTGTGTTGCTGTTTAAACCAAAGTCGGAGCAGTGATTCCACCACCATCAGTTTGCCGGAGCGTTTCCAGAAGCCAAAGTGTTCCTCTTCAGTCAGTTGGTCCTCTGGTATACCCTTCAGGATCTTGGGACCTCCAGAGAACAGGTCCGGGTGGTTACACATCTTACGCAGCGCTATCAGGCCCGAGAACACCTGGAAATGAAGGATCAAAATAAATTAATAAATGCATTAATAAATAAAACAGTCACCGTGAACTAGGAGGATAGTGTTCCCCAAATGGAGGTTGTGGTAGAATTTTTTTATTTTTCAGTTGATATGTCACAAGATAGCTCACATAACTTCAGGTTGATCATAGCACAAACACATTTGGTAAACACCAATCAAATAATCCATCAAAGCATTGATTGATTTTTACAGCTACCTTGTTAGGTTCTACAAAAAGAAGCAAGCTAGAAAATATATACCTTTCAGTCAACAACATTAAGTATCACAATCATAGAAATATAATCAATTTCATTGTATTTCTATGATCACATTGATGTTGTCCCTTTAAACAAACCAATTTTCAGACGAATTATTTCCTTAAGGGTCCTAATGAATGGTCCTACATAACTCATTCCCTGCAGAAGACAAAGAGTGTGTGTTGTGTGTTTGCAGTGCACTAGCCAAGTGCTGCATTAGTAATGTGGGTTAATGGATTCAGAGACCACATCAAGGAGAGACTGACCACGGGGGGGGGACGGGGGGGGACGGGGGGGCACGCGTACATATAGAGCAGTGATGAAGAATGGTTGGTGTGTAAAAGCCTTTCCACGGGTCAGAGATACACTAAAGAACAACTGTAGAGCCCGATTCCTCTGACCAGGCATCAGTTATCATACCACTGACCTTACATATCCTAATGTGAATGACACTGTGAGATAACATACAGGTCCCTATAGAAAGCTTTATGCATGCATCATGTCTAGCAAAACCCATTGTAAATTCATTGATTGGCATATCTCAACATTATAGACCATCTCGGGTAGTACTCCAGTGTTAGTGTTAAATAATGAATAAGGCCCGTCTTATTCCTGGAAGAATAACCGGAACTAGATACTCGTCTTTCAGTGGGATGCCAGAATGTATATTTCCAATCCAGATCATAACTTGAGATGTATTAGCTTGCTCCACCATCCTGACCACTGCACTTTTGTTTTGTTTTCACAGTGAATCAGAATGTAAGCTCGCGAGATCAGGATGGTCGAACGAGGCTATATATTTATATAGGCCTTAAATGAAAATACATCAGCCAGTGGTTACAGGACAATAATATGTATAGACAGACAATGGACTTGACTGTTCAAAGCTAAAAGGGCAATCAATCAAAATGTTGATAGAACCCATTCTCTGATCAATAACAAAAGAGCCTCAGTGCAGAAAGAGGAGGAGGAGAGTGAGCTAAGAGTTAGATGAGGAAATGGAGAGGAGGGAGTGAGACTCACCTGCATACAGTGAGGGAAAAAAGTATTTGATCCCCTGCTGATTTTGTACATTTGCCCACTGACAAAGACATGATCAGTCTATAATTTTAATGGTAGGTTTATTTGAACAGTGAGAGACAGAATAACAACAATAAAATCCAGAAAAATGCATGTCAAAAATGTTATAAATTGATTTGCATTTTAATGAGGGAAATAAGTATTTGACCCCCTCTCAATCAGAAAGATTTCTGGCTCCCAGGTGTCTTTTATACAGGTAACGAGCTGAGATTAGGAGCACACTCTTAAAGGGAGTGCTCCTAATCTCAGTTTGTTACCTGTATAAAAGACACCTGTCCACAGAAGCAATCAATCAATCAGATTCCAAACTCTCCACCATGGCCAAGACCAACAAGCTCTCCAAGGATGTCAGGGACAAGATTGTAGACCTACACAAGGCTGGAATGGAATACAAGACCATCGCCAAGCAGCTTGGTGAGAAGGTAACAACAGTTGGTGCAATTATTCGCAAATGGAATTAACACAAAATAACTGTCAATCTCCCTCGGCCTGGGGCTCCATGCAAGATCTCACCTCGTGGAGTTGCAATGATCATGAGAACGGTGAGGAATCAGCCCAGAACTACACGGGAGGATCTTGTCAATGATGTCAAGGCAGCTGGGACCATAGTCACCAAGAAAACAATTGGTAACACACTACGCCGTGAAGGACTGAAATCCTGCAGCGCCCGCAAGGTCCCCCTGCTCAAGAAAGCACATATACAGGCCTGTCTGAAGTTTGCCAATGAACATCTGAATGATTCAGAGGAGAACTGTGTGAAAGTGTTGTGGTCAGATGAGACCAAAATCGAGCTCTTTGGCATCAACTCAACTCGCCGTGTTTGGAGGAGGAGGAATGCTGCCTATGACCCCAAGAACACCATCCCCACCGTCAAACATGGAGGTGGAAACATTATACTTTGGGGGTGTTTTTCTGCTAAGGGGACAGGACAACTTCACCGCATCAAAGGGACGATGGACAAGGCCATGTACTGTCAAATCTTGGGTGAGAACCTCCTTCCCTCAGCCAGGGCATTGAAAATGGGTCGTGGATGGGTATTCCAGCATGACAATCACCCAAAACACACGGCCAATGCAACAAAGGAGTGGCTCAAGAAGCAGCACATTAAGGTCCTGGAGTGGCCTAGCCAGTCTCCAGACCTTAATCCCATAGAAAATCTGTGGAGGGAGCTGAAGGTTCGAGTTGCCAAACGTCAGGCTCGAAACCTTAATGACTTGGAGAAGATCTGCAAAGAGGAGTGGGACAAAATCCCTCCTGAGATGTGTGCAAACCTGGTGGCCAACTGCAAGAAACGTCTGACCTCTGTGATTGCCAACAAGGGTTTTGCCACCAAGTACTAAGTCATGTTTTGCAGAGGGGTTAAATACTTATTTCTCTCATTAAAATACAAATCAATTGATAACATTTTTTACATGCATTTTTCTGGATTTTTTTTTGTTATTCTGTCTCTCACTGTTCAAATAAACCTACCATTAAAATTATAGACTGATCATGTCTTTGTCAGTGGGCAAACATACAAAATCAGCAGGGGATCAAATACTTTTTCCCCCTCACTGTATCTCCATTCAGTACAAAAGAGCCTTAGTGCAGAAAGAGGAGGAGGAGAGTGAGCTAAGAGGTAGATGAGAGGAAATGGAGAGGGAGTGAGACTCACCTGCATATCTCCATTCAGTATTTGGTAGACCTCTTTGGAGTCCAGAAAGCCCTGATACACCTCACGCTGTTCCTCTGTTAGCCTGCAAAACAAAACCTGGAGAAACAAACGCGCACGTATTAAGCCTTCACTTTAAAACCCCTTGATGAAACAAGTGAGTGAGCAGAAATCAAAGACAAGAGGTATCGGCCTAGGGGCTCTGTCCCGAGGGAGACAATTAATGAACTGATCAGAATAGTGTGTGTGTGTGTCAGGGTTTCAGTTGCGCCGGACATTTGACCGGCAGCATTTCAATTTAATGGACATTTGAGAAATTTACCAGACCCATATGCATTGGGTGCGGAACCTGATTAGGGCGTCCACTCACGGTGCTCAGAATGACAGAAATCCAATTGTGCGCCGCCCTATGGGACTCCAGGTCACAGCCGGTTGTGACACAGCCTGGGATCGAACCCCAGGCTGTAGTGATGCAGCAATACTGCGATGCAGTGTCTTAGACCGCTGCGCCACTCGGGAGGCCCATGGTTATTCATCTTAACAGAACATGCAACGGCGGGCATCCTTCTTACCGAATTCCGATGCGCACTTTGAAGATGTTGGAATAACTGCCACAATGTACTTTTCCTCAGCCAACAAGACGAGTAATGAACATCAAAATCACTAGCCTATGTCAATCTAATATCCCCCATAGTAGAAAAGTTTACCTATTGGTCAGCTTGTTGTTCTGTGCGAAAAATAAATAGCCTATTCCAAATAGACTTTGGGACAGTTCTGGGACGATAGATCCCAAATTCATATAACCAGTAAAATAAAATTGTAAAAAGCAATGAGTCTGATACAACAGATCAGAACGTTTAGTTTAAAACGTTGATAAACTATTATTTCTTCACATTATAAACACAGCAATGAGCACAAGGCAGTAGACTACATGTGAATGTTCGTTCCATAACGCAATTAGTGGAAAACCCATTGTCAAAAGCGCACCACACATGTGAGCGGATGAAAATATCCTTTAGAAATTTGAAAGAGGGGAGATCTAAAGATGCAACAACTAGCATGGGTTGCTAATATGACTAGGCTTGTGCCCTTGGCTTCTGGACAATAAAATAAAGTTGATTTGAAAACAAATAGAACATGAGAGAAATAGGCTACTGGTTTCAATGGCATATGGAAGTATTCATAAAATAATTGATAACACGTTTCTATGGTCTGACTTTATTTTGAACCAAGGTAAGACATGCCTCATAATATGACGTAAAACGTTCAGGTTTCAAACAATTAAGTATGTTTTCAAAATGCATTCTGCCTCCAGCTCATTGCAAAGTGGTGTGTGACACGCTGAAGCCTGCCTACCATTGCCTATATGCACTTGAATGGCGAATGGGAAGCGTGCTTCAATTACCAGTTGAGAAATAAAAATAGTAGCTCTTTTTAAATCGTGGCCATCAAAACTGCTTTTAACACGCGATTGCATTTAGACTTGTAACGCACTGATTGGGCTTCTAAAAGCACATATTTTCAGTCCAGCAGCATTGAATGAGCTGTTTGAGAAGCGGTCGCTCAGTCTGACAGATTTTCCGCACATAGGCTCTATATCTGTATTTTTCTCCCTGGACAATTGGCCAGCGGCAATTTTCTTTATTAGCTAAAAAAAAAAAATCCGTTTATAATACATCCGGCTAACGAAAACCCTGGTGTGTGTGTGTGTGTGTGTGATCCAACCAGATATGAGCCAGATATTAACTAGCCACCCTAATGAATACCTGCCCCTCTAGTCAGTGGAGAAACTAGTGAGGAGATACTAATGACACTAATTAATAGTGTGCACAGGTACTGTAGCACAGCCAGCACTATTCACAGGGAGCAAGTCAGGATAGAGAATAGGGCGGGTGGTGTTGTAATTAATTGGGAGAAACCCTGAGTAAAATAGAGACACGTATATAAAACCTTTGGTAAACCCCAAGATGTACCCATTAAAACTAGCAACGGTCGTCAAAATTGAAAAGGTACAAAACAGTTCTGATAAATGTAACAGCTGCATAATGAAGTAAGACACGCAACTCAACTTGAATTTAAAAAACCCATCAAATATTGACTGTGTTATAGCACATAAACAATTGTATAATGAGAAAAAGAAAATCAATGGATTCTAGACATTTTGTTGGGAATTCAGGTATTCAACTGAATGTCAAATATAAAAATGTTCTTATTTGAAACCACACATGCCAAGATTTTTAAACCATATATTGCACTTTGTTTTCATTATCATCTAATAAAACATTTTTTTCTATCCGGCAAGGGGAACACTTACTGGAAAGAGACCGTTTTCTATTCTCTCCTCATGTAGTTGCCCATTTAGATATCAACTTTGATAAACAAAACCATGTTGTTCCATGGTCAAAACCATGTTGTTCCATGTCTACAATTTCTGATGGTACCCCCATCCTTTTGAGATACAGTACTGTTTCACACTTTTCCCCGATAGTGGAAAGTCCAGCAGAAATTGTGGTTTGCACAGGTATGAATATTGTCAGTTTCTATTTTGAACGCAATCGGTGAAGTGACAGTTAGTTGAAAAATTGATTATCCACTTCTCAAACACAGCCAAATAATGGTTAAGAGTGACGTATTCAGGTGGGCGTGGCTTGAGCCTTGCTATTAAAATGGCGCACAGGAACACGGACAGTCACCGCGAAAACAGCGCTGACTGCGGGTTCAGTTACGGCGGGTGGACAGCGCAGATCTAGACGCATCACGCCCGGTACCACACATAATGAGCAGATTCTACATACCTGTGGCTCTTTGAGGTTTGTTTGGCATTGTGCAGGAACAGGTCTGCTGTGTAATATTATATATCATATTCTTTATGCTATTATTCCCATTTCCTTTCCCCAAAAATGTAGAATTGCAAACTTGAAGACTATTGCATCTTTTGGTATCCGCTACAAGAGGGACAGAAGGGCGTAGAGATGGAGGGAGGGACAGAAAGAGATGCGCACCTGTTCATTCTTGTCAGGTAAAGAGAGGTTGGCCTTCACGTCAGCCTTCATCCGTCTGAGCAGGTAAGGGTTAATGGTATCCCTCAGAACACACGCACACTTATAAGCTGTCTGGACCTAGAAAAACACAAAGACACACACACCAATTAAAGACACACTCACAATTGTACACAGTCTGGACCTATAACAACCAAGACACACAACAAACAATTACAGTTGACAACAAGAACAAATGACAACAAAGACACCAGCACAATGGTTCAACAGCCCCTTGGGTAAACATACATGACACACACACGCCTTCTGAAGGGTCAGATGAACAAACAATTGACTATGACACCTATAATGCTATAATGGAACATTTGTCCTGGGGCATGTTTGTCGTTTAGCCCCTCTCCTCCCCTCCCCCCACCTCCCACTATCTCAGCAGATTGGGCCATTAAACATTGATCAGAGTGCTTATGGTGGTCTCTAGAGGGGGACCTCTCTCTCTTTCATCAGCTGCCTATAGTGTGTGATCCAGTAAACGGCCTCAGCCCAGGGTCACGATTTAACCCTTTAACCGTTCGTTGACCATTAACCATTCATTCATCAGTCATCCACCTCACTGGGGGGTGAGATCAGAGGGACAGCCAGCAGTGGGCAAAAAGTGTTGTAGCTGCAGGGCAGAGGGGGAGGGAGGGAGAGAGAAAGAAATATAGGACTATGGAAAGAAAGAGCGAGGGAGAGAGTTGAGGGAGGGGAGATGGAAGATAGAGACAGGTGGGTAGAGAGACAGACAGATGAGAGAGACAGGGAACGGGGGGAGCTATAGAGAGAAAGAGTGCTTTGCCCGCTCTCATCATTTAATAACTTCAATAATTAGTCAAGGTTTTTTTATTATCGACAGCGGAAACACGGATGGCCATCTAAAAGCAGCTAAATAATTAAATCCCGTCAATGTGTGTGTTACCTCTATAGCCAGTTAAATAATTAAATCCAGTCGGCGAGTTATTAACGACTGGACACTAATGACTGAGGATCATCGTTTAGCAGCTCACCACCTCTTTCTCTGTCCTTCCCTTCTCTCGCTCCCCTTTCGTCCATCCTCTACCTCCCTCTCTTTCCCCTCTATCCATCCCCTACCTCCTCCTTCCCCCTCTCTTCCATCCCCTCCATGTGAATACAAATGTGAATCAAATTCTGAAGTCAAATCCTGAGAAATGACCTTTTAACAATCCTAAGATCAACTCCCTGCTTCCGAAAATGACGAGAGCTTCTTTGATGCCAAATTGTGTGTGTGTGCGCGTGTATCTGTATGTTACCTGTACAGGTGAAGCGTTGCTGTAGCCCCCCATCGTGATGGGTACAGAAAACTGTTCCATAAAAATAGGCAGCGTGCCCAGTTTGCCAGGGAAGACAAAGTCAAATAGACTCCACAGCTCCTTCAGGTTGTTCTGCATAGGACTGCCAGATAGAATGAACCTATGAGGAGTACGGAACTAGAGATGGAGAAAGGGAGTGAAAGAGTGAGAGGTGAGGCGAGAGGTAGAGGGTGAGAGGGGGGGGGGGGGGGGGGGGTGAGTGAGAGAGCGCGCGAGAGAGAGAGAGCAGGTGAAGGGACGAAAAATATTGATTAGCAGCTTGGGTGGAACAAAACACTATAGGGCCTACATACTTATACTGTAGCTATCCAGAACCAGGGTTGTTGACCAACGGTTTATTGAGCTGTGTGAGCGTACCTGCTTGCAGGCAGTGGTAACTCCAGCGTGAGGGTTGCGGATCTTGTGTCCCTCGTCCAGTATAACGTAGTGCCAGCCGTCGTATCTCTGCAGGGTCTCCTGCATGATCCTCACGGCTGAATACGACGTTATCAAGACACCATGACATGCTGCCATCTCTGATATCAACTTCTCCTAGAGAGAGCGAGAGAGAGTCAGCCCCGCATCACTCTCCAGTGCCCAAATTACTCTCCGCCACACGGCCGCAAATTGCACCATTTTGTTTCTCTCCATTGCCCACACACTTTCCACATTTAGATAAAGCATTTCACCTTTCCATTGTGTTAACGATTTCGGACTTTATAGCATTCCCAGAAGGCATGGATTATTGAGACATTGTTAGTTGTACTGTAGAATTTGTGAATATTGTCTGGTGTAATAAATTCTATTAGTTTATTCAGTGTACATTTTCATTAACTGTATGTTAGTTATGTTCCAACATTCCCTCCATCTTGTGCCAATATCAGTTATTTTTAAGTCTTGGTTCCAGTAGTTTCTATTTTTTTCTAAGAGATTGTCAGTTGGATATGCTCTGCAAGGTTTGGTATATCTTACCTATCATATGAATAGTATTTTCTGACTCAAATAGGATTCCCTCAAGATTGCTCAAATGTTGAAAGAACTTAAAATCGAAATTTCTTGAAATTAAACTTAAGTTGCATGTATTTGAGAATATCTACATTGGTCAGACCAAAATTGCTTTTTAATTCTGTCATGGAATAAATGTATTTCCTATTACTTTTCTATGCCTTTAGTTTTCCATGTAGACCAATTTATCTGTGAATTCTGAAAAGCTATCCAAGGATTGTTCAATAGGGGTGTTTTTAGTGAGTGATATTGGTTATTGTAGAATACATTTAAATTTCTTCCATATTGTTATAGTGTTCTTAACTATGAAGTTGTTAATGTTCTTAGCTTTATCCTTAGAAAATAAGCACGTACACATATTCTGGGGATGAGCATCTTCTACAGTACCAGTCAAAAGTTTGGACACACCTACTCATTCAAGGGTTTTTCTTTATTTTAACTATATTGTAGAATAATAGTGAAGCCATCAAAACTATGAAATATTACATATGGAATCATGTAGTAACCCAAAAAGTGTTAAACAAATCAAAATATATATTAGATTCTTCAAAGTAGCCACCCTTTGGCCTTGATGACAGTTTGCATTCTCTCAACCAGCTTCATGAGGAGTCACCTGGAATGCTTTTCCAACAGTCTTGAAGGAGTTCCCACATATGCTGAGCACTTGTAGGCTGCTTTTCCTTCACTCTGCGGTCCAACTTATCCCAAACCATCTCAATTGGGTTGAGGTCGGGTGATTGTGGAGGCCAGGTCATCTGATGCAGCACTCCATCACTCTACTTCTTGGTCAAATAGCCCTTACACAGCCTGGAGATGTGTTTGGGTCATTGTCCTGTTTAAAAACAAAATGATAGTCCCACTAAGCCCAAACCAGATGGGATGGTGTATCGCTGCAGAATGCTGTGGTAGCCATGCTGGTTAAGTGTGCCTTTATTCTAAATAAAATCACAGACAGTGTCACCAGCAAAGCACCTCCACACCATAACACCTCCTCCTCCATGCTTCACGGTGGGAACAACACATGCAGAGATTATCCGTTCACCTACTCTGCGTCTCACAAAGACACGGCGGTTGGAACCAAAAATCTCAAATTTGGACTCATCAGACCAAAGGACAGATTTTCACAGGTCTAATGTCCATTGCTCGTGTTTCTTGGCCCAAGCAAGTCTCTTCTTATTGTTGGTGTCCTTTAATAGTGTTTTCTTTGCAGCAATTCAACCATGAAGGCCTGATTCACGCAGTGTCCTCTGAACAGTTGATGTTGAGATGTGTCTGTTACTTGAACTCTGTGAAGCATTTATTTGGGCTGCAATCTGAGGAGCAGTTAACTCTAATGAATTTATCCTCTGCAGCTGAGGTAACTCTGGGTCTTCCTTTCCTGTGGCGGCCCTCATGAGAGCCAGTTTCATCAGCGCTTGATGGTTTTTGCAACTGCACTTGAAGAAACATTCAAAGTTCTTGAAATGTTTCGGATTGACTGACGTTCATGTCTTAAAGTAATGATGGACTGTCGTTTCTCTTTGCTTATTTGAGCTGTTCTTGCCATAATATGGATTTGGTCTTTTACCAAATAGGGCTATCTTCTGTATACCCCCCCACCTTGTCACAACACAACTTATTGGCTCAAATGCATTAAGAAGGAAAGAAATTCCACAAATTAACAAGACACACCTGTTAATTGAAATGCATTCCAAGTGACTACCTCATGAAGCTGGTTGAGAGAATGCCAAGAGTGTGCAAAGCTGTCATCAAGGCAAAGGGTGGCTACTTTGAAGAATCTCAAATATAAAATATATTTTGATTTGTTTAACACTTTTTTGGTTACTACATGATTCCATATGTGTTATTTCATAGTTTTGTCTTCACTATTATTCTACCATGTAGAACATAGTAAAAATAAAGAAAACCCCTGGAATGAGTAGGTGTCCAAACTTTTGACTGGTACTGTATATGTACCCATTGTTCCTCTTTAGTGCATTTAACTACATGTCCCAAGTAAAAGCCCTGGGTGGTGAGTTGATACAATTCTAAGTCTGGAAGGTTAAAACCACCCTCAGACTCAGATGTTCCTTTTTATTTGCAATCATAAAGTCTTATGGCAGAGTTTACTTTTTTAAAGAATGTCTTCAGTGGGGTAAATTGGTATTACTGAGAATAAATATAAAAGTAGAAATGTATTGTGTAGAACAGATATGCTCGTCTTTCAGGTAGAATAGGGAATTGTGTCAGCTCTACTCATTACATTTATATCATTGAGAACATCACTGAACGTCACCTCACTGAACCCCGGTCCTCACGTCGCCAGCTGATGGTGACACATTATTTCTCAGTACCATAGAGACTGGTTAATTAAAAGTGCATGTGGAGTTTGCACCTCATCACTATGAAAGGGGGAGGCATGAGGAGCCAACTCTGCATAAAACAGGTCTTTGGTGCCCCCCCCAAAGGGAAACACCTTAAAAAATAAAAACTCCCATTAATCACCATGTCACACCCACACAACTTGCCGGGTGCGCTCTACAGTGTAAAGTAATTAATATCTACTAGTGTACCACTAATTAATTTACACCTCCCTCAGAGCTAAATCCTCCACACAATGCTGACAGGAGAAAAGATACAGCAGCAGTAAACCCCCTACCTTTGTTTGGGTGAAGGATCCCGTGTCGTGTAGGACAGCCACTCTGAATGGGGGCCACCAGGTGTGAAACTCACTGACCCACTGGTGCATGACAGTAGCTGGACACACTATCACTGTAGGACCCAGTCCTTGGTACCTGGAATACACACACACACACACACACACACGGTTAGGATCAGGTAAAGTTCAGGGTTTGTGTTTAAGTCAGGCTGCTGGCATGTTATGGTTCATTCACACCGTGTTAATACTGACAGAAAATAAGCGAATGATGTCACAAGGGACTGTAGGATGAGGAATGGGGTTTTAGGGGTGAAGGGTGCAGGGACATCAATTCCCTCACATTAAGTGTTACTAACGAGTTCAGTAAACTAGAACAGGGTGTAACAGATCCTTCTGAGTATGACAGTATGAATGGAGCGCTGATGTTAGGCCATTACGATGCTCCCAGAGCGTGTGTTTGTGCCTGCACACTGACTGAGATAAGTGGACAGAACACACTAAATGTCTGTGGAAGCATTAACGGAGACACACGGACACACACACTGCCATTAGGGCTGTGACAGTCTTGGAATTTGAGGTTACGGTAACTGGCCAGGCCAATGTACACTGTCACTGACATAACCGTTCAGGTTCGTACACTTGTTTACTTGGATATGCTTCTAATAAATCCTATTTGAAACAAGCCATTAACACTTCTTTATTATCATCATGGCATTTCATTCTTATTATTCAGGTTATTACAAATTCAGAAATGCCAGGTTGGAGGATCTGTCACATTTTCATATTGACACAACATTAAAACGGAGTCAAAAGAAAGATATGCCTACCCTGTCGGTTGGCTTTCCTGCAATAAAAATAATAATGAAATACACATCCTATTTTGATGCATAAAACCAGTCAAACGAAATTCGATGGGTTTTCTCCTACTTTTCCCGAAATAGTCGCATAATGTCACAAACCCTGCTGCTGCGGTCATTCGATGGCAGTGGCACAAAAATATGTTCTTCAAAGAGAGGACACCGTAATGAGAGAAGTAATGTAGCCTAAGCTACTGAAAATAGGCATCTTCCAAGATTAAATCATTTGATTCTTATTAAAGAGATTGAGTCCAAACAGGCTACTTTAGGAAACTTTCTGAATGGAAATAGTATCAGCGAACTCACACGCACACCCCTGTAAAAGCACCCGTCAATCAAAGCCACCAGCATATGTCAGACACAAGAGCAAATATTTATCCTTTCCTTAAAATGTATTTAAAAAACCTAGGCCTACCATAGGCTTTTCGAAGGTAGGCTATTAGATAATTAATTGACAAGGAAAGCATGAAGGGGACAGCTATGCTATAGTATGAAGATGAAATTGACAACCATTAAAATAGAAATAAATACACGCAACATGTCCATAGCCTATTTATCAGCGATGCTGATTATCGAGGGGGAGTGTGTTGGAAAGATTTTTCAAATACCGTGAGGAGCGATTATACACTAAACAAAAATATAAATGCAACATTCAACAATTTACAGTTCATATAAGGAAATCAGTCAACTGAAATAAATAAATTAGGCCCTAATCTGTGGATTTCACATGACTGGGAATACAGATACGCATCTGTTGGTCACAGATACCAAAAAAAAAAGTTGGGGTGTGGATCAGAAAACCAGTCAGTATCTGGTGTGACCACCATTTGCCTCATGCAGCGTGACACATCTCCTTCGCACAGAGTTGATCAGGCTGTTGATTGCGGTCTGTGGAATGTTGTCCCACTCCTCTTCAATGGCTGTGCATAGTTGCTGGATATTGGCGGGACCTGGAACACACTGTTGTACACGTTGATCCAGAGCATCCCAAACATGCTCAATGGATGACATGTCTGGTGAGTATGCAGGCCATGGAAGAACAGGGACATTTTCAGCTTCCAGGAATTGTGTACAGATCCTTGCGACATGGGGCAGTGCATTATCATGCTGAAACATGAGGTGTGCGGCGGCGGATGAATGGTCTGCCATCTGCCAATCTACAGTTGAAACTGGGATTCATCCGTGAAGAGCACACTTCTCCAGCATGCCAGTGGCCATAAAATGTGAGAATTTGCCAACTGAAGTCAGTTATGACGTCAAACTGCAGTCAGGTCAAGACACTGGTGAGGACGACGAGCACGCAGATGCAAATATTATTCGGTTGTGCAAACCCACAGTTTCATCAGATGTCCGGGTGGCTGGTCTCAGATGATCCCGCAGGTGAAGAAGCCGGATGTGGAGGTCCTGGGCTGGCGTGGTTACATTTGGTCTGCGGTTGTGAGGCCGGTTGGACGTACAGACAAATTCTCTAAAACTACGTGGGCTTATGGTAGAGAAATTAACATTACATTTTCTGGCAACAGCTCTGGTGGACATTCCTTCAGTCAGCATGCCAATTGCACGCTCCCTCAAAACTTGAGACATCTGTGGCATTGTGTTGTGTGACAAAACTGCACATTTTAGAGTGGCCTTTTATTGTCCCCAGCACAGGGTCCACCTGTGTAAAGGTCATGCTGTTTAATCAGCTTCTTGATATGCCACACCTGTCAGGTGTGTGGATTATCTTGGCAAAGGAGAAATGCTCACTAACAGGGTGGAAAACAAATTGTGTGCCCAACATTTTTGAGAAATAAGCTTTCTGTGCTTATTTTCTGGGATCTTTGATTTCAGCTCATGAAACATGGGACCAACCCTTTACATGTTGCGTTTATATTTTTGCTCAGTGTGAATGGATGTAAAAAGAAACGGACTTCGTTGACTTACTGTGAGAGGTAAAGAAAAAATGACTGAGAAGCCCAGCTTATTAGTGGAGGTGAGTGAAGAAAATCAGAAATCAGACATCCCCAAAAGGGCACTTTCCTACATTTGCGAGAAGCAGACCAAGTACTTCTATGTGTGCTCAGGCGCGCGCCCCCTGTCAACATTAACAGGAAAGAGAAACCAGACACATGCTCATTGCTCACATGGAGCATGTAAATTATGCTATGAAATAAACCAAAACGTGTTTTTCATAAGTGTAGCAGGTTGTGAACTCTGCAAACAACATTTGAGAACTGTAAATTACTAATTAATAAATGCATTAACAGAAATAATGACAGGGTTTAACGGTAAATTGGCTATTTTACAAATGGTAGGCTACCACATTTACATTTACATTTTAGTCATTTAGCAGACGCTCTTATCCAGAGCGACTTACAGTTAGTGAATACATATATATATATATTTTTTTATACTGGCCCCCCGTGGGAATCAAACCCACAACCCTGCCACATGGGCATTCATAAAAGTCCATTGCTATTCTACTTTGCGGGGATAAGCGGCGTCAACATTTTTTTTGTCTCGCATACGCCGGCATATCGACCAGGACCGGGCCTGATCAGCATTGGAGAGGATTGGCACATTGTCCATTTCACACAACATTAGCGCATTATAGGCCTCAGAGCCAGAACAACCTTGTCAACTGCTGTTGAATAATTAATGAATAGTCAGAAACATCCGACCTTTTTTAAAGACAGATGTATTTATTTACTAGCAAGCAATGAGAATGTGCATTGTATAAAAGAAAGTTGACACATCAAAACATTTTTTACTGAAGTGTCATAGCCTATAGCGCTCTACAGCTGCTCGAGCATCAAAGGACAGTTGGAAAGCGGAGGATGTAGAAACTTTAATAGACTAAGTTAGCAAAACAATTGCTTGTAATCATTAATAAACACTCCCGCTATTAGGTAAAGTTTATCTACATGACAATAAAGTTAATACACTTTTTTTAAATCCTAAAATGAATGTAGGCCTATTTCAACGGTTTTGGCGGTTATTTTATTTCCATGACGGTCTTCATCAATAACCGTCAGTTACACCGTTATTAAATTATCGTCACAGCCATGAATCTCTGCTTGGTGGAAACCATTGATAGAGGCATAATTGAGTTTGCAAACAATCAATTTGTGGACGTTCACAGCAGACAGAGTATTGACCATCAGAGAGGTTCAATCCCTCTGGAGTGTGTGTGTGTGTGTGTGTGGAACCAGTGGGCCCTGCCTTCAATGTGCTTTAATGTGTTTCACGTTTAATTGGCCCCCTCTGCCCCTGTGACCACATCCACTAAGAATTACACACACGCACGCACACACAGACCCTGTGTCATGTCCGCATTTCCTTTGGTGTCTGCAGTAGAGAATGAGAGAAGTCTAATAATTGAAACATGTTTAATAATTCAGACTAAAACTCTCCAGCACAAATCACCCTAATGAAATATTCATTACTACACAGACTCCCAGTCTGAACGCACCGTAACGGCTAAAGTTTGTGTGTGTTCGTGCATGTGTCAGACCTGGGTCCAAATCATAGACTTAGTTAGAAGACACATCTTTTTAACTGTCCCATTATGGCGTCTGTGAGGGCATGGGCAGTGCGATTGAGGCCATCTCCATTATAAACTAGTTAATTTTCTTCTTCTCCTACTTCTATGAATTGGTAAACAAACTGAAAGGGTGCATACTGCCACCTGGAGTCTGTTGTTTGAACAGGTATAAAGCCAAGGTTGGCGATTTAACCCACCTGCAGTTATGGAATGTTTGCTCACGAGTATAATTCTTTGGCTGATCCCTGCTGACGAGCTGGATGGAATTGTGTGATCCTTCTTCAACCCATAGGAAGTCCCCACCCAGTTGACTACTTTAAAATGGTGGAAGTCCTCAATGGCAATGTCCATGCAAAAACGGGATATATCCAAGTAATGATCTCCATCTAGCTCTATGGTCCAAATACTTTATCTGTGCCTGATTGAGCTTGCCTGTTGCAACGGAACCAATAGAAAAGTCCCAAAAATGCAGACCCCACCCACCTGGCCCTCTAGGCAGGCTAAAGCAAATGCTCAAAGTATTTGAAAGATTTTAAATAATAACTGAACCCAGGTCAGGTGTACGTGTGTGCATGCGTGTGTCCATGTGTACCTGTAGTTGGAACCTCGTGTGCGTAGTTTACTGTAGCTGAGGCCAGCCAGGAATGCGATGACTTGGATGGTTTTACCCAGACCCATCTCATCCCCCAGGATCCCCCCTGCCTGCTGGCAGTGTAGCTCCCACAGCCACCTCACACCTGTCTGCTGGTACCTGGAACACACACCCACACACACACAGAGACAAAGACACAAATGCAAGCATACGCGCGCACACAGCTGTTAATATACACACACAAACATCCCTGTCGTTCAAAAATCCACCCCCCGCCCAAATACAAAGAGCGTAATGTGTGTAGTGGGAAATTAATCATTAGGTCATTAGGTCATTATCAGTAATGATTCCAGATAAAGAGACCGGAAGTGTAGAGACTGATCAGCTGTGAGCCACTATACTCACTTTCTACTTGAGTAATTTTACTCAACTCAGACTCAGTTACTCAACTGAATACAGTCCGAAACGATCTGCCTGCTTTGAGTTCAATATGCTTCAATTATTCTGACAATGACTTTCCGAAGTAATGATAAAAACCAATCTAAAACTGAATCATGTATTTTTATAAACTGGTCCACACACAAGTATGATCATACTTTATGTATATGATAATTTTCACTATATCAGAGTTCATATTCAACAGGTATCAAGTTAAACATCTAGTCAGGGAAGGGAGTGAAATGTACAAAATACAGTAACAATTGGGAAAAGCGGTTTCTTTGTTACTTACTTGAAGAGTTTATTCCAGAGGAATCCAGGCACCTTGAATCCTTCATCAAACTCAGCATCACTCTCGTCACTCTCCTCCTCTCCTCTCTCTCTTTTCTCCTCCCTCTCTCTCAGCCGCTGCCTCCTCCACCTCCTGTAAAAGAGAAAACAGTCATCACTACTCTCATCCTCTCCCCTCTTTTCTCCTCTCCCTTTCATCTTCCTCCTCCTACAGGGGAACAGGTGCTACTGTCAGAGAACAGTCACTACAGCCCCTCACCCCCCTCTACACACTCTTGTATTGAATCAGCAAAATCTCCCTCAGCCATCTCCCCAAGACCCGACAGCCCCATCTGGATCTCTCTCCCTACAACACTTTGGCCCATAACACAAAGTGTCTCAGAGTAGGAGTGCCGATCTAGGATTAGGTCCCACCTCTTATTCATTAAACTGATCGTAGATCAGCACTCCTACTATGAGACCCTTTACGAATAAGGGCCCAGACCCTTATGTGCATCTGAGCAGCAGAGATGTCCCTTGCTGACACAAGACCACTAGACATTTGCAGCCCAAACCTTGCTCTTTAAAACCCAAAGGGATGTGTGAGTAATTGGTGTTATCACCATCAGTTAGCAGAGGGAATTCTTAAGCCGTTTTAAGGAGGGCAATCTAAGGCAGTTTAATTTTTATATAGATTTGTTTTGTCTTTTATGGAAAGATAGAGGTTGTGTCAAAGGGCAGTAGGCCGGATTCAAACCTATGCCATAGACATGTGTGCCGGAGGCTGCGGGATTACCGCTAGACCAGCCAGGACACGTGTATTTTTAATAGACTAGCTGCATAGAGCGAGAGGGCAGTTAGTGGCAGAGTCGTCACACAGCAAATGAAGATTGATACAGACAATTAGTGGAGTGGGTTCCCTAGGAAAGGTGTAAGAGGGAGAGGACCAGAATCCATCTTCATTTGGTCCTGGTCCTGTCACTAAGGCTGGGAGACTGCTGCTCTATGCTGGCCTGCTGAGACCAGCCACACTAATTAAGTCAAGGCATTGGTTCAGTTTATTACTCTTTTCTCTCTACACACTTCCCTTCCTCGCTCTCTCTCCACTCCTCTCCTTTCTCTCCCTTCCTCCTTTCTCACTCCCTTCCCGTCCCTCTCGCTCATCTTTTCCTCTCCCTCTTAACCTCTCTCTCCATCTCTCTCCCACAGCCCGAGTCATTCCACCTCAAAAAGCACAAGAAAGAGGATTGACACCCACCAATTTAGATTGTACTGAAATTGTTTCTGTAGAGTTAGAAACGGATAAGATAAGCATTCCTGAAACATTATTTTATTGAAATATTATTTGATCTGAGAAATTAAGCTATTTGATTGCACCCAAATTGTCAGTTTTAATCTATAGGATTCATAATCAATAAATCTGATTTGGACCATAATTCTTCCTAACAATGAGTAAGACATGAGGAATCTAATAAAATGGTCAAAAGCCACCTACGGACCACCCACAGCACACGCCAACAACCAGTATACAGTATAATTTCTCTATGTTTGACAAGTAGTACGGCGCTGCTGCTTGGAGTATTGCTTCTTCATCTTTTATAATGTATTCTCTGTGAATTTAGTGATGTTTTTTTTCCCCTGTTCAGAGAAATTAGCCAATGAAGTCGCTTGCATCAGCGTTTTCCACAAGTACCCGGTTCTAATTTCTTTGTCGAAGGAGCTCTATTTTTGGTAGCCTCTGGTACATACTAATGCTTTGATTCCATCTGAAATACACAGCGAAATTATTGAATACTTTATCGAGTTTACCTCCCAGATTGGAAACATTTGTTGTGGTATTGTGTAAGACATGACTTTACAATTTAAATGACTGAAAATGTATGAATTCAGTCTATTGTTTGGATATTGTCTAGGTCTGTATGATCAGGACTATTTTCTAAGTAAGAGAACATTAAACCTTTAACCCGTCTTCTCTTGAGATTAAAGTCTTATTTACAGTTTTACTGAAAGATATGAATTGCCACAATGATGTTTGTTCAAATTATGTATTTTATTAAAAACAGAATAATGAAGTAAATAGCCCACATTACCTTGAAAAATAAATTCAAGGTTAAATTGAAAAATAAAAAGGGTTATATACATCTTAAAAGGTCCAATGCAGCCGTTTTTATCTCATTATCATATCATTTCTGGGTAACAATTAAGTACCTTACTGTGATTGTTCTCAATTAAAATGGTTGAAAATAAACAAAAATAGCTTCTTAGCAAAGAGCAATTTCTCAAGCAAGAATTTCGCTAGGACTGTCTGGGAGTGGTCTGAGTGGGGAGGGGAAAACTGAAATTTAGCTGTTATTGGCAAAGAGGATTGGAACTCTTTGTTATTGGTCTATTAACTAATTTACCGGGCAGACCAAAACTCCATCCCACCAAAACAGGCTGAAAATTCAGGCGGCCTTTTCAAACAGCACTTACACTAAAAGGGCCATGATAATTTTCACAATATTATTCCAACTTCATAGTGTGGAAATATATATCAAACACAGGAAAATCACGTTTCTGACTGCACCGGGCCTTTAAGTATTATATCTTTCTGATTTTACATTGCTTAAATTAATGTAAAATGTTCATTAAGTAGGGCCCTATAAAATCAGTTATATTTTTTGCCTGATTCCATTTTGTTCTTTCCCAAATTCTTTTTAGATTTTTGGGTGTAGACACCTTTTAATTCAAGTGTGCACATAGCAAGAGGACTTGTTTAGCTGTGTTTTTGTAGCGTGCATGTGATGGTAGAGTTTGCTAAACAAATACCCACTGGATTGACGAAAATAATCATGATATCATTCTGCCAGGTAAGCATAGGCTAATTTGTAGTTAACATTGAATTGAGATTTTTTTTGGGAAAGCCTTTCCATCTACCAGAATAATGTTTTCATTAGGTATCAACGCTAACAGCTACACAAAGTGGTTGACGCACACACACACAGACAGGGGCATTCTCGTTGACTCTTCAGAAAAAGTTGCAGGAAATACGGCTCACTGATGCATTCTGTTCATGTCTTATGATAAACTTGGGCTAATGAATTAATTCAATACATTTAGTTGATTCCCTACTAAGGTCAGTACATTTTTGAATATTGTTTGAATTCCTTTTTAATGCTTGGATTCTGTGAGGGCCCTAATGATCATATTTGGACCAGAATGAGGCTCTCAACTACTTATTGCTGCAGTGATGATTCACTATCTTCATCGAATGTTGTTTTCGTAATTGATCTGCAGATAATCGCCAAAAAGCTAGGCCTACGCAATTTAGGGAGCCAAATGAGCGGCTCTCTCACCGATGAGATTCAGTAAGCTGCACTGACTTTAGCGTCAATGTCTGGCAAGCCCCGACATACTAGGAAAGGAAACCTATTAAATTGTTTGGTTTACTTGTCCCGATGAGATATTATGTACATGGCAAATGGATATAGGAGATCAACTTTATTCGGTCAGTTCGGGACCTTTTATAAACTAGTCAACACTTGCTGTTCAGTTGTCAATTAAAGCACAGTAGGCTATGACTCCGCGTGGCTGGCTACGTGTAACACGCGAAAGGAAATGTTCCAGAAAACAATAATAATCGTTAGAAGATGCATATCGTTCATTCTATCAGGAGAGGGCTTGACGGACTAGCGAATTGAAACTTTAATAAAAAAGTAGAGCAGTTTATATGAAGGGGAAAAAGTAGTCTTTAACCGGCTGATTAGCCGCAGCCGGCGCTAATGGAAAACTCCTGCTTCCATTATTTATCCGAAATTAGTGTGAAAGTACAACGTTTCTGATACTTTTATCAATTTTGCTGGTCTCTTGTGCTTATTAAATGGATAAAACATTTTCTTAGCAACTTTAGGTAGAAAACCAATATATTTTGCTCATGGTGAAAATAAATTGTGCGGTCAACCTCACAATTCAAGCCAGTCCTTTATGAAAGCCATTCAGTTTGTCCTTCTCTTAGGCTTAATTTGTGTCCAGAAAAAGGTCCCTCTGTGTGTGGTTTATTCCCTTTAAAAAAAGGTACGGATTAGTTAGACCTACAGCAGTTCCAATGGTTTCAATGTTATGATCTCGAATGGTCTTCAAATGATTAAAGTCCCAAACACACACTGTTCTGCAAGGGTAATGGTATTGGGCTGGGTTTAACGGTAAATGTCACTAATCACACTATATATAGAGATGTTTTCTAATAACTGTATTGAAAAACATACGACTGCCATGCAATGGTTTATAATTGTATTATTTTATCAGGGCTGTCACAACATTTTAGTCACTAGCAAATTTCTCCATCAAAGTTTTGGGCTTGTAGGAAAATACTTCATATGAGAATTGCACCATACATATAGCCCTCTCAGACAGCTGCCATTTGGACTATTTCAGGAGAGTTGGGTTGAAGCATTAGGTTGCTAAGGACCAACTGAATTGCTTGACCACACAATTTATTTTCATCATGAGCAAAAACTATTGGTTTTCTACCCAAAGTTGCAAAGAAAATGTTGTGATCCATTTAATAAACACAAGAGACCATAAAGGTATAAAAGGTGTGCAGGCAGCAGCAGGAAAAGTGGCATCTAGTGGGCAAAACCTGGTACTTTCATACTCATTTATGGTAAATAATGCAAGTGACTTCAAATGGCTAATTTCTCTAAACAAGGGGGGAAAAAAACATCACCAGATTCACAGGAAATACATTACAAAGTATGAAGAATCAATACTGCAAACCACATCTTTAAACTACACTGAATAAAAAGATAAATGCAACATGTAAAGTGTTGGTCCCATGTTTCATGAGCTGAAATAACAGATCCCAGAAATGTAACATACACACAAAAAGCTTATTTCTCTAAAATGTTGTGCACAAATTTGTTTACATCCGTGTTAGTGAGCATTTCACCTTTGCCAAGATAATCCATCCACCTGACAGGTGTGGCATATCAAGAAGCTGATTAAACAGCATGGTCATTACACAGGTGTACCTTGTGCTGGGGACAACAAAAGGCCACTCTAAAACGCGCAGTTTTGTCACATAACACAATGCCACAGAGGTCTCAAGTTTTGAGGGAGCGTGCAATTGGCATGCTGACTGCAGGACTGTCCACCAGAGTTGTTGCCAGAGAATGTAATGTTCATTTCCCTACCATAAGCCACATCCCAACGTTGTTTTAGAGAATTTGCCAGTACGTCCA